CCTTGGTTGTTTCAAGTCTAGAAGTGACGATTCCTATCGTTTCTATCTATTCTGGCAAGTGTCTTGGGCCTCGTGGCCTCCGTGATTGATTTACTGTGGAAACGAGAGGAGCTTAGCTCAATAGCATTTAGGAAAATGCTATTTGGCTAACTATTGTGACGTGGACAGGGGAAAAGTAAGAGAGAGAGTAGTCACTAGTTACTAACAAATAGCTTATCTATTTCACGTAGCCCAAGATCATGTGAGAGAGGTATGTGGGTCCAATAATGTAAAATAGTTATTTTTCTTATCTCTCACATCCACGTCAGCTAACCATATAGCTAGTAATAGCTATTACCATTGGAGATGCCCTTATCGTACCGTGTCTGAGCTTCAATTTTGTATAGTTCAAGCATTTATCTACCTCTATTTACCAAGTAAATCGATAAGTGAGTTTGAAGATGCTGTTTAATTAAACGAGTATGGCTCGAATCGGTTCGAATTCGAGCTCAAACTCGATTTTAAGCTTGTTTATTTAACGAGCCGAGCTCGACTCGACTCGTTAAGGGCTCGAACTCCAGCTCGAGCATCCTAAGCTCGAGTTCAGCTCGGCTCCTTTACTAATATTTAAATTAGCTATATCAAATGTACCAATGTCTCGCAGATTATGTCGTGGTAAGAAATATGTATTTATAATGTTCAAGAATATATAGGAGCTTAACTTCATTCATGAAATCAAACTAGCTTAAATTCAAACTATTTATCAAACGAATTTAGCAACCAAACCGAACTTGCCTTTAACCAATTTACCACCGATCTACAGCTGGACTTAGCACCATTATATGGCCAATAAAAATTTTATAGGAAAAGTAAAGGGCAGTTCCATTTAATTTTATTTTGTTTCTTTTCTTTCTCCAATTTTCTCTACCGTCCAAAACGTATTTGTTTATTACTTGTACAATTTTATTTATCCAGATGAGTCATTTAAATAATTATTCTATACTACTTTTCAACCTGTAACTGAAGATAACTAAACTGTCCATGGATAATTCATCTTTGAAAGAAAACAAATGGAAAAGAAAACTATGGTCTAAATATAAGAAAACAAAAACAGAGTACAAAAACTCGTTCACTTCAGCTATGAACCAAACATGGTGTCTGAAGTTGAGCAAACTGCACCTAGTTATCTAACATCAGTTGCCAGAAACGACATTGCCGATTGTATCAAATTACCCAAATTGCCCATCAAACCGGCAACAGTACTCGACAGCGGTTCGCAGAAGCTTACATTCTCCTCCAGGGACCCTCGCTCCTCGAATTCCTGAAATTGCCCTTCGAAGAATTTCCTCAGACTCGGCCCCGAAACATTGATCAAGCTAAGCGAAGCATTCGTGTGCATGAATTTTGTCACCAGAAATCCGGCCAAAATGTGCTGGCCTGCTTTCACAAGCTCCGCTATGAAACAGGGGAACAACACTTCCACGAATAGGAAATCGAGGCTTTCTTTGCTCTCATTGGCCGACACCCGTGCCTCCTGGGCCCGCCGGCAGAAATTCCCGACCAAGAAGCAAATGTAATAAAATATGGTGCCGTAAGAATTTTGGGCAATGATCTTGGGTAAAATTCCAGATGATAAAACGAGAATAAAAAAGAAATAGTCAAGGGCAATTTCGTCAGACATGCCTTTTTCCTCCAGCTTGCTCTCGACCGCATTCAAACACTGCAACTGTATGGCTTCATAAGGAAGCATTAACGACAACTTGAGAGCTATAAAGCAGTTAGATTCCAGTAAAGCTCGACAAATGCCATGTGTATCGTCCTCATCGAGCAATAATACTCTGGAATTTTTGGGGCCGTTTTGGTCGAGCAGCTTCAATATGTCTGTATGTCCCGAGCACGCTGCCAGCTTTTTAACTACAGTCGCCCAACAAATATGCAAGGGATGGACCGAGAGGGCATTTTCGTCCCTTGAGGCTTTCTCGGCCGATTCTTCCTGGAAGCTCTCCCAGCCCTCGTCCCAGTCATCATTGGTCCAGCTGTTGGCATCATCAGATACTTCAACAGCGTCGTTTTTATTCACACAGGTTGTCATAAAAAGCCCTTCCCACTCGGCCAAAACGGATCGTAAAGCATTAACATGCGAAGCAGTGGTGGCAAATTCGGAAATTCTTAGAAAGCAAGAAACGGCGGAGTCCACCGATTCAGTGTCTTCTTGCGTAATTTCCAGGCCAGGCGAAATGGACAAAACTAGCCCCGACGATTTAAGGGCCGCGAGGGTACTCATAAACCTGCTAGACGTGTCCTCTGAAGTCAGGTCACTAGATGTGGTCTCTGATTTTATGTTTCTACTCTGTAAATCATCCCAGCCATCCCAAGGCTGAAGAAGGCACACGGGGGCCTCGGGAGAGAACATGTCCGAATTTATCTTTTGCCCAGAGATTAACTGCATGAGCTCCAACGCGTACACGCGAGTATTGCTCGACAGCTGTAGATTTTCGTAAAAACTAGACATTCTCTCCCAAACAGAAAGTCTTACTTTCTTGAGATCTTCTAGGTTGCCCTCCGTTTTACTTAAGGACGATAGCAGATAGTGCAAATTCTGGCAATTGTTGGACCCTCGGGCTAGTTCCTGCAAAAGGGTGTCCAGTATGCTCAGGTACAGGTTTGGAAGATCTTGGATATCGACAGAAGTCTCTGCAGTTGCTGTGATTGACAATGATGTTTCAGGTGGGACCTGGTGAATGATTTCGGAAAAGACACGAACTACAGCTTCAAAACCGCAGCCGCTAAAGATCATGGCTCGGAAAAAGTTGAAAGTTTCAATGGCAGAGTTATTTTGAAGGCCATATGTCACATAGCTAACAGCAGTGCACCAACACTGTTTAGGTGATATTATCCCGTGGATGAGCAAATCTCTAGAAACATCAAGGAATTTCACTGAAAATTCAGAGTAAAACCTTTCGGTTGAGATATCCCACGTAATTAGCTCGTTCATATCATTCATCAACCTGAGCCAGAAGGTTATAAGTTTGACCAGGCACTCCTTCCCAGTTGAGTCGCAAGGGAAATTCTTCAAATTTTTATCAATCGGTATGATGATAGTGAAAAAGCGAAGCACTATGTCTGAGATGCCTGGATGCTCGATAAATCTGAAATATTTTGAACTTTTATCATATGTATGCTCGATCTCGTCTACAAAAGAGTTAATTTCTTCCGAGCTTTGAAAATGGGCCTTCTCTCTTTCGGCCTTTTCTTCTAAAGTGACCAAAGAGCTCAACACATAATGTGCATATATATGATTCCAAGATACAAGACCCTCAGGAACTGTATCACCGCATAAGAGGACAAGGTTTTGAACCATTGTTGCCAGTGCCTCTACATTGCTCTCGTCTATTTGAGAACAAACTTCATCATTGAAGCTATTCAAATTAAGATCTTGTAAACTGGCAATGTTTTTAAAGTCGAGGCCCTCAATGAAGGAAACCCTGCTGCATTCTTGACCAACGATTTTGCAAAAACGTGCTAGCCAAAGAGCATTTTCTAATTTCCCCAATTTTTCTAGATGCATATAGCAATCAGAAAGCAGATTATATACAAATCCAAGTCTTTGCTTATCACGACCATCGATTGCGGGGTAAACAGACAAAGAAATGGTTTTAATGGCTTCACCAGCATAGGCAAGTATTTCTTCCTTAAAATCTGCAATTTCCTCTCTGATATCATCAACACTCCATACCTCGGAAACAAGTATGGTATTCAGGTAATACAGAATAACCTATAAAAGAAGAAATAATAACTGAGTGTATAGAAAAATATTTAATGTCTAGAATAAGAAAAGATAAAAGGAAAGAGAAGTTGAAGCTTATCAAGACTACATAGCAAATGTTTACCTTGCTATGATTCAGACAATATGTATGAGCTAAAACTAAGGTGTCCTTCAGAATGCTCTTCTTCTCCACTTTTACAGACTCGATAAGAGAAAAGACAACACTCTGTATATACTCTCTGTCTCCAGAAAAGAAACGAGAGGTATCCACCCCAGGTATTAATTTCTCCAATACCCTTGATTTATCTGCTATAGTCTTCTGTTGTTCTAATTTCACTTTCCATTCATTCCAGAATGTTGATTGTGCTTCGTGTACAATACTGCACTCGTCTGAAGTTGAAAAAGGTCAAATTACTTCCAGAAAATGCAGCTCAACAACACACACACACACACACACACCCAACATTTGCATTAGCACCAGTGAAAATATATATAGCAAAGTTATCAAGATATTTTACATGCAGCAGGTAATCACCTGAACTGAGTAGTCTGTGCTTCTCTTGAAGCTTATTCAGCAACAGCTCCCTCCTTTGAGCAGGATCCTCACATTCAGTGCCATAACTGTGCAACAAACTATATATCATGCCCACATTCATGAGACTGGAAAATTCACGGTAGTTGTCCCTTGTTTTCAGCTGCTGTTCAATTATTTCAGCACCATGAAAGGCATCCACAAGATTTAGCAGAACAGAACAACCTATAAAATCCTCCTCATCTGAAACAGGTGGTTCCATAATTGATTTAGCAAGAGAGACAATCATATTATCCGTTGGGGCAAAACCACTCCTCGTCAACCACGACAAAATACTCATCACTGCTTGGGTTCTTATACTGACGTATTGGATTGCAGGTGCTGAACCTGAAGGAAGCCTTTTCCCAAATTCTTCGCTTTCACTCAATTCGAGCAACCATGGGAGCTGTGAGGCAGCAAATGAAAGCACCTTCCTGTTCTCCTTAAGAATGGATTCCCGTTCATATTCATTTTCAGATGATAAATTTTTAGCAACATGTGAGAGCACACTTTTTGCCATTTCAACCTGTGACTCGTGGTCATCAAATTTCACATTAATTCTCTCAGAAAACTCGCCAGAGTTTACTGAACTCTGTTCCGAGAATTCAGGAGGCTCTCTTCCAGTCAATACAATCATAGTTTCACATTGCTCCTGCATCTCAACGTCCTCCCACTCTTGAAGGATCTCACCTATTGATTCTTCATCACAATGGCTCAAAGCAAAACCTAAAAGCAGTTTTTGGGATTTCAAGTCCATGCTCTCGATAGCTTGGCTCCTGGCAAGAGCAGCACACAAGTCCCAAATAGAACCGTGCCCCTTTTTGGCAAGCACGAGGCACAGATCAAAAGCCAGTTGTACATCTCCCGCGAATGCTGCTTCTCTGGCAATGGCTTCCTGAACTGTTGATAGCTCTTCCTGTGAGCTCAATCCGAGAAGCTTAGCAACCTCAATAATTTCATCAACATTTAGATAAGCTCCACCTTGACTAGTAACTGCCAACTTAATAATTTCCATGGGATCCTTGATTTGCCGGAATGCCATCGGGAGAAGGTTGACTCCAAGGTTTGGAAGTCTGACTGTAACAGCATCAATGATGTCAGCCTCTGCCCTGACGTTTCTGCTGCTAGGGAAAATACTCAGACATTCCTTAGCCTTCCAGATCTGGTTAAAAGTACCAAAAGAAAGAGAAATTTTCAATCATAATGTCAAACCAAAACACTTTGCAACAGTCAAACTTCAGAACACCGGGTTGCATATTTGAGATAAGATTACATTGAATGTATAGTAAACACAATTTTATCAAACACTCAAATTTCATCTCAGGCAACCATGTTATTCCACACGTGCACAGAAGATAATACTGATAAAAATACATTGCACTAAAATCAATAAATACTTTATTTGTTGCATCCATTCAATAGTAATGGAGCAAATATTTAAGAATTACCTCAGAGCAAGCAAGAGTTGGTGCTGAGAAAAAATACTCCCTTGCAGCTTGAATAACAAGATTTTCTGCCTTATCTGTTGCCAAATTAACAGTACTGGTGCCTTTCAGGTAATTCCTTGCTAATGCAAACTTTCCAGCTGTCAGCAAACCCCTACAGAACTCAATCAACATGTACTCCCAATTCAAAAATGTGAATGCCTTCCCTTGAAGGGATTGCAAATCACGCCACAGGCTTGCCCAATCATGGTCAGACCGACCCGGTTGCGAGCGAATAAATTTCGAAAGTAAAAGACGAATAATTTGTTTGACACCCTTTTCATCTGAGCGTGCATCCAGGAAGAAACTTATTGGCTTGGGAACCTGAACACAGGAGTAATCATGTTCACAGAACTTCTGTTAATCAAGGGAAGCGTTTCCTAAAATGACAGCACCAAACTGGTACTCCTGCCAACAAACATCTATATCCATAAAGGCAAATCACAATAACAATCATTAATCACATTCTATTCCTAAAGCAGAGCTCAACAAACAAAGAGTGGAAAACACAACTTCATATGTGATGCCAATACAATTCTCAAGTAAAACAATGTTGGCATGGAGCTGGTTATCAAGTTACATTTGCGGAAAGATGCATTTTGACGTTATTAGACAACCTTAAATACATTTGCATTAAGTCTACAAGGTCCTTATGAAGAAGATTGCATGTGTATCCTCATGAACAGCAAAAACAGCTGGTGTGGTTGTGAGCGACTATCAGCGTTAACACAATTACCATCATATAACACATAGAACAGCAAAAACTTGTCATGCCTTATTCAGGTTCAGTTGCACTTTGTGCATATCTTAACAATGACTCGCTTAATAACTCTCGTCCTGGTCCTACTTTACCACTTATATAACCAGTAGATGAGAAGAACCAAGTGCTTCTGAAATAATAACTAATCCCAGGTATCCAATTATGATATACAGGGAGAGACAGAGACCAATTGTTAATGGACCAATATACTATGTGGCACAGATAAAAGATGAGGCGGACAACAGAATTTACCTGATAATATGCCAACAATCGTCCCGCTTCAACGTGGCCCTCTGCAAGTTTAAGTCTATCCTTTATATCCTCATCTTCAAGGTCTGTGAAACGAAAGCCATATTCAGTTCAATCCAGCACTAATTACCCATTCAATCATCGGTTATCAAAAATCAATTTAAGACATGCTCATTCCGAGGCTTAAATACATTATACCCACTCAAGCTTATTGATGGAAGACTGCCTAAGCGAAAATTTACCTCGCAACTGTGGAAGCTTAGACAAAATGGTAGACATAGTGCTCCAGCTATCTACATCAGTGCAAAAGTATATACATCGAAGAGCACAATCAACAAGCTCCACTTGATCTTTGAAAAGATAAGTCTTAGCCATATCCCTGCACCCTTCTTCGATTATTATTGAGCAAATGTCCAGTTTATTCTGGGTCGCAACTTCTATCATCCATCTGACCAGGAATGAGTCAACAGTCTTATCTTGTGTTGGATAACCATTGGTAGCATCATTGGAATTCAATGCATTAAATCTCCTTTGCATGAATGGAATCGCCTTTTCATGTAATCGAGTAATCACATTATCCTCCTTGGCACCCACCATCATTACCTTGAATTTTTCATAATCTGGTAGTTGTTCCCAGTTAGCAAGGCTCATAGAAAAGCTGATGCCATCTTCAGTTTCATCAGAGTATATTAGCTGATGCAAGTGAAAAATATCCTCATGGAATTGCTGTAATTCGGAGACTCCCTTACGGATGGCCAAATCAACCAAGCACATGCAGTTGTCCAGCTGTCCGCTTAAGGTATCAATTTCTCTAGCTCTATTCTTGTACCAAGTAGAAAGTTCAAAAACAGATGGCCATTGAAGCGCCATGTGCTTCATTACAGGTTCAGTCATATATTGGATACTTCCCACATGATCGCCATGGAGATTTTTGAGGAAAATCACTGTTGTTTCGCATTCCACCCAATCCTCATCCCTTAGAACAATACTGGAAGGAGCAGAAATTGCTGGAAGCAGCTGTCCATAGGATTGAACTGGTATAGTCTCGGGTATAGCAGCTAAAACTTCCAACATTGAAGGAATCAAAGAATAAGGATGACGCTTAAATAGAAGGTTCAAAGCACCAATCTTCCCACTTTCTGCAAGAACCAAAGCAGCTTTTCCTATGGGCAATTGACGGAATTTGATATACTCCTGCACAGAGTATCTGCAAAGCTAAGTCATCAAGCTGTGAGTCAGTGAAAATCATTAGAGTTTTGTAACACGTAGAGAAACTAGCAGATGCTCATTCAGCTCTGTTCTGAGGCGACAACGCAGTTTGTACCTTAATGTGAATTCTCTTTGATGGCATGAAAGGAATAAAGATGCAAATGGTTCATTCATACTTCACACAGTTTGTGCTTAAATTTTACATACGCTGTAAACCAATATATATATGCACATATCTTCACACTAAATGAAGCATATCCAAAGGGAGATATAATATAGACATGCCATAATGAATTCAAAAGGATGCAAAGAGAGATGATAGCTAATGAATGAGAAACTGGTTGACAGTATTCAGGCACGATCTTGCAGAGAAAAATCCGGGAGACCAGGATCAGATTATAATTTGGGGGAGATAAAAAGGAAACTCCCCAAGTTCTTGGGAATATCATAATGCTGAATTCCAAGAGAAAGACTAATCCCACTGGAATACGAAAAAATCCCCAAAAAATTTGTCGCACATGCATTGAAGTAGACTAGATAAGAAAGCTTATACTTAACCTGAATGCAAGCTATTAAAGTTTACAAAGATAAAAGGTTTATGCAAATAAATCTTCTTTACACTTCATAAGGCAAAGGGTGGACTTGAATTATCACCTGCCCATGTTTACACCAACAAATGTCTCCAGCCTATCTCTGAACTGTAGTAACTTAAGTCTTGCCAAACGAAAATTCCAAATTTGCTCATTCTCATTATCTTCCAACTCAGAAAATCTGTAAGAATCCGTTAAGCGAAGACCAAAAGAAATTAAAGCCCTTGCAGCATCTTCTGTTGCTCCTACTTTATCCACACACTCAAAAAGCACAAAACCTAGGTCCTTGATGGTGGGAAATATAGAATTTATCTCATGAACTCCTTGTGCAGAAGATAACCACTGTGACTTCAGCACCTCATCTTTGTCAAGCCCA